GAGAGAGAGAGATGGAAGTAAGGTGGGTAGTAAGTTTATGAGTAGGTAGGTACCTTACAGGTAGACTCTCAACCCTGTTAACAGTCGTAGGCTTGGTAGGTAAGTAAGCGACCCCGGCTGTGAAAATGAGTGAGCAAATGCCGGCAGATCCAGAAGAAAAATGCAGATACGGGTGCAGATTCCATCTACGTATCAAACCTAGACGGGAAAAGAGTAGGTGGCGCCCGCCCCAGTCTGGCGTTCCAGCTCAACGGTTCGGCAAGTTCCCCGCCGCTCATGGTCCAATATTAGGTACGCGATAAGCCGCCCGCACCCCCTGTTCGTCGCGGTCAGGGGCACTCTTTTTCTTCTTTTTTAACGCGTTTCTAGCGTGCTTTGGAGGTTGATGAACCCTGGAAGAAGCTGCAGATAGCATTCATTGACCAGGCTCTTTGGGGGGAATCTCCACAATAGCTTGTTGGCACTACATGTAGATTGAACCTTGACCTTGTACTACATGTCTATTCAACGTCATTCTCGTCTTTTCCTCCCCTGATACCGACCTTTGATTCTGCAAGGTCACTGAGCATCAGTCTGCCAGGGGTCAGATTGATATACCCTGCAGTACCTCCGCGTTTCCTCTCTACTCGAGTTGCAAAGTCTCTCGTCATTCTTTTGTTGTAGCCAAGGCAGGCAAGACTATACATCTTATTCCCCGTTTTGCTCTCTTTTCAGTGTAGCACTTCTACCGTATATAATCATTTCGTTATTTCGCTCAATATCAACAGTCCAACAACCAGCTTTTGTTTCCGCTTCATTCTGAGCTGGTTTGTCGCGAGGCCGGATATCCAAGGGTAAATCAAAACCATGGTTGACATGCTGCATTGAAAGAAGAATAAAAGGACGAGATGGATTCCGACACCGAGTCTGACTTTTACGGTAATATTTATTCATAACTCCACGAACCCCTTGCGTACTGATAGACTGACGACCTGAGGCAAGGCGACGAAGCTACAATGGCAGCGTTGGAGTCGCGAGTCCAAGACTTTGATTGCAACCAGTGGTGGGCTGACTCCAACATGACCAAGACTCCTCTCAAGATGCAATCTAGAAAGCTGGCACGACCCGAAATGTCCCACTTTCACAATCCTTATGCAGGCGTCGGAAGTGCTTGGCAACTCGACGAGACTGTTGATTCTTTTCTGGATCGTTTGCCGCCTGCCACCACGGATGACACGAAAGTCGGCCCGTGGATCTTCATCTGCAACCCGTATATTGACCGCAAAAGCAAGCGGCTGGCTCAGAACCAAGGTATCAAAGGCTGTGAGGATGAGGCCCCTGAAGAAGAAGGAGCTGATTTGGTACGGTTCGTCGAAGGTGGGATGGAGAGGCTTCATCTCGTCACCGAATTCCATGACAAAGTGAACCAAGCTGCCATGCTGGCGCCCATGCGTATGCGAGAGAAGAATAAGGCAAGCCTGGACGCCTCTCGGGATATTCTGGCTCTTGCACACGCTGCACACGTTCGAGCTGGCAAGTGGATGTTGTTTTGTACTGCCCAAACCGTGAACGAGGTCTGGGAGGTTGTGGCCAAGGCTACGGCCAGCAATGAGTTGGGGATCGCTGCCAAAGTAGCCACCAGATCCGAGATTGACCCCCGCCCAGAACGTTTAATTTGCGTATATACTGCCGATTTCCATGACAAGGACGACGTTCAAAGAGTGGCAAGCAAGCTGAAGCAGCTTGGATTGGTAGAACCTCGTGGTAAAAAGCCACTATACTACAAGCCAGGTTTGTCTTTATCAAAGAACCACTATCGACCAGAAGACTGATCGAAAGTAGATGCATACACTTACTTAGGCATTGGTTCAGGCAATGCGTGGGGTGTCAAAGCATCTATCTACAATACCAAGGATATGCTCGGGAACATTTCATGATCAGGGACACCGGACATCCTCGGTTCATAAGTTCATTTTCATTGTCAAGATACCCCCCCTACCGCTGTCCTACAGCCGCTGCTCGGCCTATCATTCCCGTTTGACGCCCTTCTTCTGCCAGCGGCGCGGTTGAGGCCAGTCATTGTAACAAGTACCGCGAGGCGACTATATTGTTTTCTCTGGGCATGACACAGCAACAATCTGTGAATTTCTTCTGATTGCTTTTTGAGCTTCCATGTCGGTACTCTGATGATAAGTACATCAGGGAATACTCAGAATCAAGCCAGCCAGCGGTAGGCTCCTGCGCCTTGGCCTGATTTGAGTAAGCACGTGCTATATGCCGTCCGACTGAGCTAGTTTCGTTAACAAGTCGTCTCATCAACATATCCCGATAGCAAATGTACTATGATGGCGGTATAAACGATCCGGGAGGCCAACGTGAATCTTCACTGGCAAGTCCTGTAAAGGCCCCTCGTGACTAACATGGGTTTGAGCGTTCTTCTGGGACCGGTGCCGGCATCTGTGACTTGAGCAGCAGGACGAGTCTGTATGCGCTATTGCCATTCAGATAGTATCTGTGTAATTTCTTGGACCTCAAAAACCCCAGGCGCTCGTAGAGTCGCATGGCAGGTTTATTCGTCTCTTCCGTCTCAAGTACGATTTCATCGGCATTTCGTTCGGCCATGGTGTCAATAGCTCGTTTCACCAGTGCTGTAGCTATGCCGTGCCCGCGATATGCAGAAGCGACTGCCAACATGGCAATGTATCCGCGGTAGGTGGGTGGTGAGTGTGATGCGTGATGCTCGAGTTTGCAGATAACAACACCGACAAGTGAGTTGTCATTAGGATTGAGCGCCTGGGCAAACAAGATATCAGCATGGCCGAGCGATTCGCAATTGCTGACGCTGTCCCACGGGTAAACCCCCAGGTTGCGTGTAGACGTACCATAAAGCATAAGTGAGCCCATTGGTACAAGAAATAACGGTAGACGTAGATACTGTAGGGTTCGCTCAAATCCTTGGAGATCAGGGCTCGAATGGCCGGTAGATACTGCTCCTCAAGGGCATGTTCGTACTGAACATAACGCAGCTCGCTAGGGAGCGCAGCAACAGAAGCAACCTCCATTCCGGCTTTCGGTGGCTATTGACGGCTGCTTCGAAGCCTCGCGATGTGCAGAGTTGATGGTCATAAGAGGAGAAGAGGTAGCGACCAGTCAAGGAGTCATAGCATAATGACTACCAGCTCACGCAAAGAACAAATGATGGATTGAATGAATTATTATGTACAAAGCGGTCGGGTTGGAAGAGAGGGTGCAACCACGCTACAAGAGAGCAAGCAAGCAATCAGCGGGTGTGAAGTTGGAGTCAGCACGAAATAAGTGATAGAGTACTGCGTACGAGTTGGAAGGGGGGAGCGATATGAGGTGAGCAGTCAGTCGTTCGTTGTTGCACAGTCGGAAGATGGGATCCTGACTGGGCTGATGTTGGGTGCCACCACTTGCAAACACACACCAGCAGCCCACTTTCACATGCTTGCAGAGTGGTCCAAGTATTTTGTAGGTAAGGTACGTATATAACAAATTACATTAGGGAGGGACTGTCACTCTCGAGGCACTTGGGATTCGAGGCGCATCGGCCCTGTAGCTAAGGTAGGCAATGTTAGGTACCTGCATGGATGTCGCTTACTCTCAAATTCACAAAAATGTATTCCGTAGTTTGGCGCACGAATATTCACAGTAACACAAATGCATCGTAGGAGGAAGATTTCCACGTTCTGGACCATGTCACCGAGCGCCCTACAATGAAATTGACCCTCAGAAGGGCAAGCCGCTGAGAAGATGCGACAGCGGGAGGCGTTTCAAGCGCTATGCTACAAGCAGCAACGCGCTGTATTATCACAAGACCACTAATCGTACCCCTGGTCTGGGCAACTTTGACGTCAGTATGCGCGAAAAGGTTCTGCTCAGATGGCGATGTTTAGTTCCTAAACTTCCAATGTCTGGCGCGACTCAAATTCTCGCAACTGTGCCCTGAACTTAAAACCCAGTTATCCAAGAGACCAGACTCCAAGAAATAAGGCGACCATTCTGCCGAAGGTCTTGTCAGGGCCTTGCAGCTATTCTACAAGGTTTCATCCTCGCGTGCCGTCCCGAGCTTCTAGAAGCAGCTGCAAGCAGACGCGCGCGTGTTTGACAGCGCAGATTTGACCGTGGGTTTGCATCTTTCTGTGTGCGTCGGCAACAGATACTGCGACATACGCACGGCGACTACAACCCTGTGGCCGTGATCCCACCAGTAATGTAGCTTTGCTCTGCATCATGGCCTCCGAGCTTCGCCGCCGAACAGTCGCGACAGACACGCCATCCGATCCGCCGACCCCAGAAACCGCCTTCCACGACGAAAGCCCCTTGAAAGCATCGAACCAGGTACTCAAAGCCGAAAAACACCATGGCCACAAGAAGGAGACACGCAAGCGGAGAAGTACCTTCATTTTCCTCTTGGGTAGTTTGTTTGGTATCATAGCGGCCGGGTTCCTGGCCCAGAGCAACGACCTGATAGAGTTTCCCGAGATTGGCGAATTGAGTGTGGACGGTATACTAGAAGCCCTGCCCGCGGGGCTTGTGAGGGATATGAAAGATCTTGTGGTATGTCTGGATAGAAAACTTCTTGTCGAAAGACTTGTGTCGCCTGTGAGTTCTGACATTGCGTATCGGATAGGCCGGAGAACGCGATTTTGCCGAAAGTTATGATGCCTTTGCAGTTGGCGTCAAGGCCAAGTCCGAAGGACTTCAGGTCCATCACCCCATCATCATGATACCTGGTGTCATCTCTACTGGTCTCGAGTCGTGGGGCACTGCAAATGTTTCTCGCCCCTATTTTAGAAAGCGCTTATGGGGCAGCTGGACGATGATGAAGGCTCTCGTTATGGACAAGGAGGTGTGGAAAAACCACATCATGTTGGACAAGTTCACTGGTCTTGATCCGCCGCATGCGAAGCTGCGCGCTGCCCAGGGCTTTGACGCCACTGACTTCTTCATCACCGGCTACTGGATTTGGAACAAGATTTTCGAGAATCTGGCCTCGCTTGGCTACGATCCCACCAATTCTTTCACAGCCGCATACGACTGGAGGCTATCGTACCGTAACCTTGAAGTTCGCGACCAATACTTTACCCGCTTAAAGAGCTACATTGAGATAGCTCACAGCTCCTCTGGCAAGAAAGCCGTCCTTGCTTCGCACTCCATGGGAGGTCAAGTCATGTTCTATTTCCTGCACTGGGTGGCTTCTCCCAAGGGCGGCAATGGCGGCGATGATTGGGTTGAGAAACACATTGAGGCTTGGATCAATATTAGCGGCTGCATGCTCGGTGCAGTCAAAGACATTGCAGCTGTCATGTCAGGCGAGATGAGGGATACAGCACAACTCAATGCCTTTGCTGTCTACGGCCTTGACAAGTTCCTCAACAAGGATGAGAGAGCTGAGCTCTTCCGTGCCATGCCCGGATTATCATCCATGCTACCCATCGGTGGCGACCGAGTCTGGGGAAATCTCACCTGGGCTCCTGATGATCTCCCTGGCCAGAAGCACAGCTATGGATCGGTCCTAAACTTTCGGGTTGGCGGCAACTGGACTGCGCCCGAAAAGAACTTCACCGTGTCCGAGTCAATGGAATACCTCATGAACACCACAGAGTCATGGTATCAAGACATGGTCAAGGGATCGTACTCCCATGGCGTTGCCGACACCGCCGCCGAGGTTAATGCCAACGAGGACAACCCGGTCAAATGGATCAATCCCCTCGAGACACGTTTGCCTCTGGCCCCGAACTTGAAAATTTATTGCTTCTATGGTGTCGGAAAACCGACAGAGCGCTCGTACTATTATCGCACTCCGGATATGCCGCATCTGACCAACCTCAATATCACCATTGATACAACGCTCACCGTCGATGAGATTGACCACGGTGTCATCCTTGGCGAAGGTGACGGCACCGTGAACTTGCTGTCAAATGGTTACATGTGCAACAAAGGTTGGCACATGAAGCGCTATAATCCGGCGGGAGTGCAAGTCAAGGTCTTCGAGATGCTCCACGAACCGGGCAGATTCAACCCTCGCGGGGGTCCCAACACGGCCGACCATGTCGATATTCTGGGCAGGCAAAGCCTGAATGAACTGGTCTTGAGAGTCGCGGCTGGCCAAGGACACACTATTGAAGAGAATGTGGTTAGTAATATCAAAGAATATGCTGATAAAGTAAAGATATGGGAAGAGGGAGAAAAGCCTGACGATGAATGATTCAAACCATGATGATAAGAAAGACATAATGATTCAGGACAATTGGGTATACAGATCGGTCTGGAGTTCCGGTTAAGATTACCTCGGCGCACGCCAATCTACATGAATTATCAGTATATAGAATCCAGGACCTTGAGCAGTCCAAACCTTGATTTTAGACGATGGAGTGTATATTCACATTTCAGACAAGTCTCCTCTTGATTTATTCCTATATAATGATTGGTTTGTTTTTTGTTTTTTTAATCATTTTTCCATTTCTGGTGATTTGAAATTTAAATCTTCATCTTTCTGGGGGAGAATTGGGTGTTTGTTTGGCCGGTTGGTGCTGAACGAGTGGGCCACGTGATCTCCAAATTTCCCACTTTGGGGCGGTCCGTAAACGATGATTGGATCTTGTCCGTTTCTACTCTATCCCGCGCAATCGCGAATATCGGTGCTTCCTTGGCAGCATAGACCTGGACATCTCCCTTGCGATCAAGAAGCTATACCACCATGAGCGAGGCACCAAAGCGGAAAGCGCCTCCTGGCGGTGACTCCCAAGGCCGCCAGTGGAAGAAGAGCAAGGTAATGTTGCTCGGCCCTCTAAAACCTCTCCCTCACTGCCTGCCTGCCTACCTACCTACCACTAGCACGACAGGCCCTGTTGCCGTGTCGCTGGCAGAGTGTCAACACCGCTGACTCATCATCATCATCATCAAGGGTGGGAGCAAAGGACGATGGCAGACTCCAAATCACAAGGCAAAATTGGAGGCTCAAAAAGCCAAAGGTGGCACGCTTGAGGTTGGCGATGTAGGGTTCTGGGTTAGTTGCCAGCGCACCAAAGAGCAAAAAGCACTAACAGAGCTGATTGCGATTTGCGATGAGGTCAGTTGTCCTCTCTTGAGGGATGGGTTGGGCGGACGGACGGACGGACGGACGCGCTCGGTAGCAAATTGCTGATTGCATACGCAGTACGGAGAGAAGGTCTACGGTCTGAAACGTCAGGATGATGAGGTCGCCGACGACAACAACAGCGACGAGGAGAACGGCGATATCGAAGCATCCATCCAGAAGGAGCTCGAGTCAATGAAGACCAACGCCAAATCCCGGCGTGAGAACTCGGCTTTTGCTCCTATGCGGATTAACATGGATTGCCTACTCTTTGTCAAGACCAAGCCCCCTGTTGAACCGCGAGAAGTTGTTCGGCGAATCTGCGAGGATGCCAAGCTGGCAACTGACCGGGCCCAGAGAAAGTCCAGGTTCATCAACAGGTTCACCCCAATCACGCTGATGGGTAGAGCGACTGAAACGGGTGTGCAAGAGACGGCCAAAACGGTTTTGGCCGAGCATTTTCAGCTTGCAGGGGTAGACGAGCAGCCCACCGACGAGCAGAAGCAGGGGCCTTCGGTACGTGAATCATCTGCTGCCGCCGCCGCTGCTACTACTACTACTACTACTACTACTCCCGCCACCCTGCCGCGCGGCCACCATATATCACCATAATTTGCTGACTCAGTCATTCCTTGGGAAACAGTATGCGATTCGTTATACGTCAAGAGCACACAATGTGCTCAAGCGCGATGATGTTATCAAGCAGATTGCCGGTCTTATCGGACCGCGTCACAAGGTCAACTTGACTGCACCCGACAAGGTGATTCTGGTTGAGGTTTTCCAGGTTCGTGGCTGCTTAATTTCACAAAAAAACATGGTGTTGGAAATTTTCATGCTAAGCATTCTTATTTTCGATAGACGTTTTGTGGTATGAGCGTGGTGGGTGGGGACTTTGAATCGTTGAAACGATACAACCTTAACGAACTCTATGTGGCAGCTTTCCAGGCCCAGGAGGAGGGCGCGACTAATAAGGTTGGCGACAGCGATATCAAGGAGAAAGGGAGTGAAGACAAGGAAGAGAAGGTCGACGATGCGAAGGGAAGCGACCAATGATCAATTCTACAGCCTGTGGGTTGGGGATTGAGGTTGGCTACCAACATCATTCTTCCCTCGGAATAAAGCTTGTTCCTGCTGCTATGGCATACATGATGTGCGAAGTTACAGCACGACTAGAGTCCAGTTGAATCTGTTTGACGAATGCTCATGCACTTTCAGACACATACTAGGACAGATGATTCTGGTCTTGGCAAATGACGGCTCCAAAGTTGGTCAGGGAGGTCATATGATAGATTTAATTTGGTCTCTTGGGTCAAAGCAAAGCTGTTGGATGTCTAATCAAGTCGGTCCTCTGTGTTAGTTTCATGGTTCGCGCAAAGGGGCCTGGGAGCAATGATACGGCCGAGTATGCTTGCTGCCTTACAGACATGCTATAACCATCATTCCCTCCGCCGCCGCCGTCGTCGTCATCATCATCAACCTGCGGGGGTGCATAGCAGAATCAAAATCAAGAGGAGACTTGGAGTAGAATAGGTCAGAGTTGCGAATGTACGTCATATGCGAGGTACTTTGAAGCATGGTGTTGAGAAACAATGGAAGCTGTCAATAATATTGAAGGTTGAAATGCGACTCAAGAAACCACGATACTACCCATGTCTTGGCCGCAGTGCCGCCTCAATGAAGCTCTTTCATTTGTGTTTATTTTGGGCGCTAAACCGTATTACGCCAAAATTGACGAGCGCTCAGGGGGGTGTTCAAAGGTACCATAATAGCGAGTGCTTTGTTAGGTATGGGGTGGCTTCCTAGGTACTCGCTCGCATGCAGCTAACTAGGTGTATGTATGCACTCTCCATATTTCAGTATCCTGGCTACATATGTAACCGGGGGTGCGGCGGCGGCGGCATGTGTTGAATTGTACGGTCGTGGGAATTCTTGATGGATGGACATACAGGTGCTGATAGGAAACAATACGTCCGGATCTACGTCAGGGAATGTCGAAGGAAGGCACAATTGTTCCCTCGCCAGACCTGGAACTAATATGCGGGCCGACCGATATGATAATCCAGATCCTTCCCGATCTTTATTCCACTGTAAAGGAGGAATCGAGTGTGTATGTGTAACCCTCAAGAAATTGTTTCGTTGGGAAACTGTTCACTATTCAAAGGACTAGAATCAACGCAGTTCATCTTTATTTGTTGATAATTATTATTATACGTACATACAGAGATCATAGAACTAGACAAGCGCGGAAAATAAGACTTACGACGGGGGGATTCTTGAGCATGGGGGAATATATGAATTGCCATAATGCATCATGAATACCCGCAATTATATGCACTATAGCAAAATATCACATGTTCTTGACACTTATCCACGTGAAGAGAGCAGGCGGTAAAAGAAAGAGCTTCTTCTTGTTCTTCTCTCTTTTTTATTTTTTTTGTGTACACCTACATTTCTAGGTCAGGGTTCGTACGTAACTCAATTTATTATTAAAACCAAAAAAATAAAAAATAGATGGAACTTGTTTTCAGAGAACATGGCTACGTAGCATACATAGTAATAGTAGTAGTGAAAGAACCAAGCTGAATTGAAGAGAAGGGACCAAAAAAAACAAAACATACAGGGCGGCTCGTTGTTGGTTTTCCCCATAAAATGGGATAATCTCCACTCTTTCCGATGCCCTAGCTGCTAGCGTGGCCCAGACTGGCGGGCTCGCTTACTTGTGGCCAATCAGGGCAATTCCGGCTCGCTTCTCGACGCAATCCATCTGGTCCGTCAATAGCACTGAGCCTCCTCCTCCTCCTCCTCCAACCACCAATTGCCTCATCTCACTCTCACCATCCAAACGAGAGAAACACTCTCAATCGTTCATTTTACTTCTTGATCACATATTCAATCATGTCCATTGTCAACCAACGACCCAAAGTCCCCGCCGCCGGTCCCGAAATTCTGATCTACGGGCCAGAAAAAGGAGCCACGTTACGTAGACCCTGACTGACTCGACAAGCTGACTGAGCCCATTGCGGCCGCAAAATGCTTCCCAAGGACCAACATGGGGAGAGAGGAGAAGAAAGAAAGAAAAAGGATCCGCCTCTTTCCCGCACATGCATTTCCAATTCTTGATCGCTTCACCGCTTTGTGCGTCTGTGTGTGTGTGTGTGTGAAAGAAATATAGAGGGCAAGAAAGAGAGGGAGGGAAGGAGAGAGAGAAAACGTCGTATGGAGACAATCAGTGATGTGGTCAGTCGTGGGCCCATTGCCATTTTGATATACGGCGTTGCGGTGTTGTTGCTCTCTCTCTCTC